CCCCAATTTCACGTTTCTTCCCCTGTGGGTTTCCCAAAGGGATGGTGTTGGGGTTCACCCACTTGTTCGCCTTCGGCGGAGGGCCTTGATGATGTGGGGGGCCCTGGGGAGGAGGGCCCCGGATAAATTGAGACAAGTGGCCCGCCTGTATCAGCCTCTCGATGGCGTTCTTCAGCTGATGGCAGTCGTCGGTTTTGTGTCCATGGTGGCGGTGGAAGCGGCAGTAGGGCTCATCAGGACCGATGGCATAAATTTCGAGGGGTGTGCGGGAGTCTCGCTCAACGAGCCCCCGCTCTTCCGCATGATCAAGAATGACGCTGACGGGGTGCGTCAGGGGAGTGCGTGGGTGCTCCAGGAGGACGGGTTGTGCCCAAGCCTTCGGATTGTTCTTGTAACCGCCCCCGGGTCTGGCTTGGCCACCCCGGGAGCGATCGTTGTACTGTGCCTCTCGGTGGACCGGAGGGGGAGGCCCTCCGGGCCGGTTCCTGCCTTCATTCTTCTGAGAAGGATCCGTGTTGCGGCGGTCCTTCTCGATTTCCTCCGCTTCAGCGTATCGGTCCCCCCGCTGAAGGGCCTTTGTATAATCGCGGGGGGGATCAGTGATAAGGCTCCGGGAGAAGTTACCATTGCGGAGGACGGTGTGGAAGAGGGCCATCAGGGTCCTGTCATCGGCGCCCTCGACCTCGAGGGAGGCCTGCCTCCAGCGTTCTAGGAAACTCCGCAGGGTTTCCTCCTTCTGTTGTCTCACATTCAGAAGGTGGGAGAAGTGTTTCTTTGAGCGGTGCCTCCCTGCAAATTGTGTAAGGAAGCGGTGGGCAAGTTCTTGCCAAGAATCAATGCTGCCTTCGGGCAACCGGTTGAACCACTCATACGCTGGTCCCTCCAAGGTGGAAAGGAACCAACGGCATAAGTATTCATCCGATGCCCCCATCATCATCATGCTGTTTTGATAACGACTATAGTGCTCCTGGGGATCCGTCTTCCCCTCATATGGTTTGATAGGTTGCCCCCGATATTTGTGGGGGATTTTGGCCGCCAACACCCTTGGGGTGAAAGGCGTCCTAGTGCGGAGCTGAATGAGGGGCTCGCCTGAGCCTTCGGCAAGTTTACGTTTCATTTCCTCCACTTGTGCCCGGAGGTCAGCGTACTCCGGATCTGGCCTCGCTGTGGAAGCCGTCGGGGGTGCCTGGCGATTCTCCTCGAGTTGACGGAGGAGGGCTTCAATGATTTCGTCCTTGGGATCCTTCGGGGCAACCCCTTGGGAGTTGGCCCGGAAGGATTGCGCCTGATTGATCCGGTGCCTGGCGTCATCGGCATGGAGGAGGGCTTTGCCTTTGCTTCGTGGGGGAGGCACGCCCTCGGCGCCCGAAGCAGAGGCTCCACTCTCCTGGGGCCTGCTGAATGCCTGTTTCCCGAGGCGGTCTTGGACCCCTCGGTGCCCGGGAGCTCCCCCAAGCCTCTCAAGTACAGAGGTTCGGGGTTTCTCTCTCATCATGGGGCGCTTGTCCCTGGATTGGGCCTCCTGGGAGGCGGTATCCTGTGCCATGACCCCCTCGGCATTGCCAATCCCCGGGGGAGGACTGTTGAACAAAGGAGGGAGTGGTGGTAGTTGGATAACATTCCCTCCAGCATGGGGCCGAAGGGGCGCCTGGGAGGCGAGGGCTCCGGAATTGAGAGCCATGTTTTGAACGAAGGCCGCAAAGGCAGCCTGAAGATCGATGGCCGGGGCCGGAGGGGGAACTTGGTTCTCACTCCGATCCCTCCTTCGATTATCAAGGCCAACGCGGGCATCAGGGGCATTCTTCTGTAGCTGCTGACGGAGGTCAGCGGTAGCCTGCTCCAACTCAAGGATGACACCACCCTCGGGTACCAAGAGCCTGTTGGAGGCCTCAGCCCCGTTGGTTTCGCCGGGGGCGACGTGGTTCTCCTCCAGAGTTTTGGATTGGGCACGAGTGGTTCTTCCCATCTTTTGGCAAGTGTTTTGTATTTGGTAGAGAGGGAGGGTTTCTTACTTGATAGTTCAGACCTCTCAACGAGAGCACCAAATGATGGATAGTCTACCCGGGGGGTATCTTATCCGAGGGGTTATTGTGGGAATAAGTTAGAGAGAAGTCAGAGTAAATAGGAGGAGGGAGAGTCGATTTTATTAAATGAACTCGAGATGTGGAGTTGAGATGTAGATCCTGTTTTACAAGGAGAAATGGGCTGCTATTTATAACAGCAATAAATGCGATGAGAGGACACGTGTCAGTAATCCAACGGCCGAAGGGTCACATCAACCGGTTGGCACCGGCAGTGGTACGTTCACCGCATTGAATGCGGTTGGCGGATGTGACGCGGCTTTAAATGCGGTGGTTGGCTGTCCCCAAAAGGAATCTTTGATGATTGAGCTGGTTCAGCCGAAGGCTCCTTGTGTAGCCGAGGGCTCCATGTGACCAAGGACCCCTGTGTAGCCGAAGGCCTTGTGTGATCGAAGGCTTTGTTCAGCCGAAGGCTTCCCTGATGCCGAGGGCTGGATAATGCCGAAGGCTCATGTTTTTCGCCGTTTTCTCCCAGTAGCCCCTTATGCCAGAGAAGGCTACCCTGTGAGATTTAGAGCCTTCGGCCAAGGAGGCCGAAGGCACCCCAGTGCGTATTCTGGGCTACGTTGAGGCTTGGGCCGCTGTACTTTGGGCCTGAGTTGTTCTCTGGGCTCAACGGACTTGTGTAGGAGAAGTAGGAGTCTATGGGCCGGGGGTTCCTGGGCCATATACTCCATCACTCGCGTTTAGGTAGTTCATATGTTGCATTTTATCATTATAACATATGCATTTTAGAAGTCTGTATATTGCATTTCAGTAAGATGAGATAAGTACTTGATAAGTTCGCATTGCACCTTATCGCTATGGCATCTGCGTTTTAGTGGTTCATATGTTGCATTTTATCATTATGACATCTATTTTAAAAGTTTAATTTGTATATTTCGTTTAAGAAAGATGATATGTGTTGTTTAGAAGTTCATACTGCATCTTATGGTTATGACATCTGCATTATATACTCAACTGACAAACATACTAATTTTCGGATAGGGTCATTTTACACGTCCGTATATTGCATCTAGTAAACCAATATGTGCACTTTAGAAGTTTATATTGCATCTTACCGCTTTGTCATCTGCATTGTAGTAGTTCATATGATGCATTTTATCATTGTGCCATGTGCATTCAGAAGTTCATATATTGCATTTTAGTAAGATTATATGTGCATTTTAGAAATTCATACTGCATCTTATTGCTATGGCATCTGCATTGTATACTCGATGGACATGCGTACTAAATTCATGAGGTCACAAAATGCATAATGTTTCTGGCACATTAAGGTATAAATATTTAAACATCTTTTTTGCGTAAATACGAAATTGATGAATTTCATGCTGATGAAAAGTCAAAACATTAAATATGATAAATCTCATAATGGAAAAATATGTTTCTTTTTTGCGTGAACAATGGATTCAAATAACCGTTCAAAAACAATGGATTCAAATAAAAAAAAGTCAAAATATGATGAATCTCATGGAAAATTAAAAAAACCAACGTGCAAGATTTCATGGAGAAGGAGATAAAGATGAAGATGGAGATAGAGTTACAACCAAAGCAAAGAACAATTACTTATGTTGTAGAGAAGTTCTCTATTAATGGTGGCTATAAACTGAAAAACCAGAGCAATTAATATCATGAGCGATGAAGAAAATTTTGGAGATGGAATGGAATGGTGTAGGAATGGAGATGGATATAAAGATGGAGGTGAAGATAGAAATAGAGATGAAGATGGAGACGGCGTGTGTTTGTGGCGATGGATGTTGATGAATGAACGTGGATGGAAATTGGTTAGGGAAATTCGGGAATATGATTTTTTCCAAAAATAAAAACAAACCAAAAAGACTACTTAGCCCATCAATTGCATGATCAACCGTGAGGTAATCTAATTAAGATGGAGGGCCATGATTAGTTTGTAGTTTGCATATTAAGAAGGGTTTGTATTTGATCTCTATTCTATATATATATATATATATATATATATATAGGGGTTGGTTCCTGTGAGTAAGAGGCTCTAGGAGAGTAAAAAAGAATGAAATCTAGCCATTCTTTCATTTAATCCCGCGGCTCACAAATGAACTATACGAATTAAAAATGGCACATGATGTGCACATGCTATGAATTAATTTTGAACCATACGCACTACAATAATGGATAAAGGACATTTACGTAAAAGACATTAAATTAGTTGGAACGAACCATACATATTCTAGGAAGCTATCTTTCAAGTTTGGATAGTAATTAATGCAAATAACTCCCACTCATAATTAAAACCATTTTATTTAATAAGTTCCTTCACTTATTTAATTTTCTTTCCAAATTTGATAATGTATCACTTGTTTATCGATAGCTAATTTTAACTACTGAGAATTTTGCATTTTTTAATTGTATCCTTTTCTTTTACGTGCAATATTTTGTTGTTTGTCCCGTTTCACTCTAACAATTATCATGTGCATTTTAATATGAACACAAGTGCATGATTATATCACACTGTAAAAATATTCGCTGGCACTCTCAAACAAAATGAAATGCACTTTTATCGTGTGCATTTAAATACATTTAAAAGTGCACTATTTTATTATAATTTCTAGAACGATGCATTGATACATGTTACAACTAAATGCACTTTTTCTTTCAAATGCATGGAAATTGTTTGGTTATGAAGGCGTCCTTCGCTGTTACTTGGATCATCAAAATGAGAAAAATAAAAATAAATAAAAGTGCATAAATAAAGTATCACAAGTGCGTCAAAATGAAAATAATGAAAAGTTTGAATAAAGTGCACTTTAATATGCCTCTCGAAATATGCATTGAAACTTTAATATTATGCACCAAAAAATACATTTGAAGTGCACTTTATCAAGCTAATCTTAAACTTATAATTTCATTTACCAAATGCAATAATTTTATAGATATAAGGCATACATGGTTTTTATATACTTCAAATGAAGAATGTTTCATTTTTGTGATGCACTACTTTATAATTTGCTAACTGCACTTGTAATTGATGCCATGTGCACTTCATGCATATTGTACATATTATCAAACATGAAAAACACTACAAAGGCATTTTTATTCTAAAGTGTTTTGACATATCACACGTACGTTCTCCGTCTTAATATTGAAGTATTTCTACAAAATGAAACACAATCTTGAGTGTACATATATATATATACACAATACATCATAATGATCGAGAACTGTTCATTCATTGAAATTTGTTTTCAATGCCGATCCAAGAGGTTTTGAAAGGCCAAAGTCGAGAGCATCATTCTCCTCTCTGTCGCTGCGAGGCCCATCGATCTCATGCCACAACCGCATCCACAAACAATAACAAACTCCAAGTATGAAACCATTTCACCGGAATATTCCTGACCGGCTGACCCTCTACCTCACCTTCTCCGTTTGAGAAGACCTCAGAATCTTCCTCACATCATTTACCGAAAATTCGCCAATACTGTCCTCTGAAACAATCACCGGCGGAGGAGGGACAAGTCCGTCGAGGCGGATCCTATCACCGGAAATGTTAACCGGCCATAGCTTTTTCCTCAGACTATCTCTGGCCGAAGAAGATACGAAACCTGTTGAGTAATTAAGGGGAAGATGGGACTCTGCGCGGTTGAAGTTGAAAGGGAATGAAAAATATACCGGCAACCATTCTTGACCAATACGTAATAAACTAAATAAATAATATTGGAGATTGTGCATGATTGTAGGCAAATATTAAGGAAAGAATAAACGTGCTTTGGATGGTAAGATAATTAAATGTCACATTTACCCTTAATGAAGAGTAGTCACACGCAATAATTAGAAGATGATCTAATGGTTCCTATTCATTCTTTTTTACTCTCCCAAGATTAAGTTCTCACATGAACCTAAATGTCACCGGGAAGGCGGCCAAACGCCACCGTCCGGACGGCGGTTCCTGTCCGGAATTCCGGACATGAATAAAATTCTCTCTCGAGTACTCTTCCGGTCAGGAATTCCTGACCGGAACCGCCGTCCGGACGGCGGCGTTTGGCCGCCTTCCGGGTGGAATTTTTCGATGAGATTTTTATGACATGTTCTTCATCAAGTCTAGTTTATCCACAAAAAAATTCAGCCAAAAACTCATTTGGGAAGGTCGTCAAATGATTTTTGCAAGTTAACTGGTCCGGAAAATTCATATTCCGGACCAGTTAACTTGCAAAAATCATTTGACGACCTTCTCGATAGAGTTTTTGGCTGAATTTTTGTGTGGATAAACTAGACTTGATGGAGAACATGCCATAAAAATTTCATCAAAAAATGTCACCGGGAAGGCGGCCAAACGCCACCGTCCGGACGGCGGTTCCTGTCCGGAATTCCGGACATGAATAAAATTCTCTCTCTATATATATATATAGACAAAAGTTCATGTCCGGAATTCCGGACAGGAACAGCCGTCCGGACGGCGGCGTTTGGCCGCCTTCCCGGTGGCATTTTTTGATGAAATTTTTATGGCATGTTCTCCATCAAGTCTAGTTTATCCACAAAAAAATTCAGCCAAAAACTCAATGGGGAAGGTCGTCAAATGATTTTTGCAAGTTAACTGGTCCAGAATATGTATTTTCCGGACCAGTTAACTTGCAAAAATCATTTGATGACCTTCCCGAATGATTGTTTGGCTGAATTTTTTTGTAGATAAACTAGACTTGATGGAGAACATGTCATAAAAATTTCATTGAAAAATTCCACCTGGAAGGCGGCCAAACGCCGCCGTCCGGACGGCGGTTCCTGTCAGAAATTCCTGACCGGAAGAGTACTCTATATATATATATATATATATATATATATATAGGTTTGGAGAAGATGAAGATGGAGATGATTGAGTATGAGAGAATAGAAAATTAGAGAGTAGGATTGTATGAAGATGGTGTGAAAAATGTAGTGAAAATAGGAGTATAAATAGATTTTTTTGGTATCATTATTACCAAGGCCGGGCCGGTTCATCATTACCAAGGCCCGATCCCGGACCGCCTACCTACCGGGCCGGGTAGGCCCGAACCGTCCAGTTGACCGGTTCGCTAGCCGGGCCGGAACAGTGGCGGTTCGGGCCGGTTCCGGTTCGGTCCGACCGGCCCGAGTCCAGGCCTACTTGGGGGCATTGAGGTCAAGCAACACCACTCCCGGTCCCAAAAACCAGTATTATTACTCAGGTGATAGACTCCCGAGGGGGTTGAATGTCATTAGTTCTTAGATGATTATATAGACTTTGAGTGTTGTAGAAGCAACTAGAAAGAAACATTGATACGATGGGAAAATTAAACATTAGTTCTTAGATGATTATGTAGACTTGAATGTTGTAGAAGCAACTAGAAAGAAACATTGAATGTTGTAAAACAAATTGTGTTGCTATTTAGATCTATAACCCAAAACATTATTATTTTGATCTCGAGTATTGGATAATTAAGTAGAACAACTTTATATTGAGCATTGCCATGAAGCATTATAGATTGAGTAGAATGGCGTGGCTGGGCAACAAATGTGCAGAGTTATATTTTAAAAAAAATGTGCATGATAACAGATAAAATAAGTGTGGACATTTAAAATTTATTGGGTTAGTTGTGATGGTCACTGGTCATTGAGTTCTTTTGAATGCTACCAAATTATATTAGGCCAACATTAAATTCTACTAGTCCACTCGTGATGGTCTTTGGGCCTTATTAAAAGAAAGATAATGATATGGACGCCTTGAGAAGAAATTGGGTGATTGAATTAATTAGGATTATTTAAAATATTCAATTAATTTAATTGTCCTATTAAGTTTGAGCCCATTTTCAAATAGTCGCTCAATACATAAGAGACATGAACCGATTGATAAAGAGAGCAATGAATTTGGTTAAGAAATCTATTTGTATGCATGTAAAATGGTTGTGAACCTTGTTAAAAACTGTCTAGATACATCTGACAGGTGTTGATTTTTCTAGCTATTAAAATGCAAGCAAATGGAGCCCAAAGTTCATTTCCATTGGGGCCCAAGGGATATGGACGAATTTGCTAAACCCTAAAGCATATTTTCACGTCCTTCACACCTATAAATAGGGGTCTCAGTTGAGAAAAAAAGGGAGAAAACTTACGGTCAAAGAATCGCTGCAGAAAAGCTCTGAATAACTACCGAGAGGCTCTGAACGATTTCGAAGAACAGGAAGAGATCAAACAACAAATTTTATTAAGAATATATGAATAACCCTTTGTGATTTCGTCCATTCTTAATAAAATAGGTCCAAAAGCTGAAGAACGTTCAAAGATCTGAAGAACGGAGCTCGAAGATTCGAAGATCTGAAGAACAATGCTTTGAAGATTCGAAGAGCTGATGAATGAATCTTTGAAGATTTGAAGATATTCATATGAAGATTGAATCAAGATTCAATTGTAGATCAAGACATATATCCCGGGAAACCCTTAACCGGAAGATCAAGCCATAATCCGACCCTTTTGTTGAAGATCAAGCTACTTGAAAATCGAAGGCCCTTCAAGCTGAATTCTACATTCAAGAAAATTCGAAGATCGAAAGAACGAAGATTCGACGATTCGAAAATCTCAACAACAAAAGATTCAAAGATCTGAAGAATGTTCGAATTTTTGAAGGATTAAAGATTTAATTTTGAATTAAATTCTTTGATCATATTATCTCAAATTGCAAGTTAAGAATCAGATGATTCATACTTAGAGATTGTACCCAATATTCTCATATATTATTATTTGCGATCAATTTTGTTTCACAAAAGACTTAATTATATCCAATGCATAATGCGCATTGTATACTCCTTTAAAAAAATGTGCACAGTACACTATAGGCAGTGGCGGACTCAGAAGTTTTCGGAAGGGGGCGCAGAAGTCTGCGCAGATTACCTTTTTAATCACAAAAAGATTGACCAGTTTCGATTTCAAGCGATGCAACATCTGTAAATTATAGATATAGTTCCCAAGTAGGGGTGGGAAAAACCGAACCAAAACCCGGAAACTGACCCTGGACCGATCCGAATTATGATCCTGGTCTGGGTTTTTTCTTTTTAACCGGCCCGAATTAAAAAAAAAAAACCCGGACCGAAAATTCCGGGCTCATTAACGGGCCTTAAAATCTATAACCCGGCCCGGACCGAAAAAACCCGAAACAATTACTTTTAATATAAAATAAATATAGTATATGAATATAAATAAAATATTTCCTAAATCACGGTGGATAAAAAAAGATTTAGTAACTTTTAGTGACTACAAATATGTTGAATTTGTTTGGCGTAATGATGACCATGAGAATATATTTATAGCAACTCTAGTAACTTTTTGATTTATAAAATTTATTTCGTAATATTTTTAAGAAGCCTATATTATTTATATATGTATACATCTTACATAAAATATTAAGATAATTATCTTCTTTAAATTTGAATTGTTGGTGATTTTGGAGACTAATATTTGTGTGATTATTTGCGGTTTGTATTTTTGATTAATTTTATTTGAAAACAAGTGTTAAAATATAAAACAATGACATATTTCACGGGGGGCTTTAACCGGTCCAACCCGAACCCGGACCGAACCCGGGCTACCAAAAACCCGACTCGAACCGAATATAATGGGATTTGTTCCAGTTCCTAATTTTCATAACCCGAGACCTTCCGGGCAATTTCCGGGTTTAGCAAAAACCCGACCCAGACCGGACCGATCCAACCCCTATTCCCAGTTTAAATCCACAAAACAATTCTAAACAATAGTTTTTAGGTTTTTGAAACAAAAACATAATTTGAATTACAACTGAATCATCCCTACATTGCTTTTAAATTGGGAATTGACTTCCGCTTACTTTTTATACTTTAAATGATCATAATTTTAGTTCAATACATTCATGTTTACTATTCCTTCAAGTCTTCAACACAACTCCATTTAATAATCTAACTTTACAAATTGAAACTTTATTATATTCAAGACTGACACTGATTTATCACGAATTGAGCTTTTTCTCACGACTCTGTTAACTTTTTCATGACAAAACCACTTGCATAAATTTGGCTCGGGTTTGGCGAGGATATGCTAATGAGTAGAAAACCCTTGAGGAAACCCTTTTCGGAGCCATTTTGTTGCAAGATATTTAGGCATTGTGTTTGAATTCATTATCCAATACTATTTTTGTTAAAGATTCGAATACTTGTTGAATAATTTGAGCACAAACTTGTTAACAATCATACACTAGACTTCTACATTCGAGCATATTTATTGAGCTTAACTATCAAGTGATCAAATCAATTCAAACATTGAACATATATTGAACCAAACTAAAGCCTCATTTGTATAGCTCGTTGAGCTTTGAGCTAGAATCCAAACACCGCTATTACCTATACGAGTCCTACTTGAGCTCCAGGTGTCCGAATTCATTTACAGCCTTCATTGAAATAACCATGCCAGCATGTGTCATTTTTTATCGTTTTATTTAGACAATACTCAAAATCAAAACTTCACTCTTCTTCAAGTGCAACAATGTTTCTTTTTACCAATTCAATGACATCTAAACAATCACCAAATAACTAGTGTTGTTCAACTAGATTAGGAGGGGCATAATTTTGTGACCTAGGTACCAAATCTAATTTTCAGGATCCTAAACGCGGGCATTTGCCCTCCTAGGCTTCTAGCTCCTCCACTGGGTATAGGTTTCCTTTGTAATGAGCTAGACAACACTTGTTTATTTGGTTTTTGATTTTCTTATGAGGGTTTAAATTGTTTAGGTGCTATGAGTGGCACACTTGTATTGTGTCTCATGTGCTTATGAGTTTTAAATTTCAAGTCCTCATTAAAACCCTCCACATTTTCTATTTTATTATATTTTTAGGATCTAGTAATACAAAGAATTTAACTTTGATGGTTCATACTCTTACAACATACTTATCCGCTCAACGCTACAATTAATTGGAGTGGATTTATCGATGGTTCCGTGTCAAATAGCTTGTAACAAAATAGCGTTGGCACAGATATGACATATCCCGTTCTGTTTTTATGGCCAAGTCAATTTCAAGTGTCCAAGTTATTTATTTCTTTTATGTTTCTTACTAATCGCGATATTGAATTTGTTGCTTTTATAGATAATAAAATCAGTGAGAATATTGTCTTCAACTCAAAGATGACAAAACAAAAATGATTACTTACTAGTATTTGCATTTGCATCTGCATATTCGGGTTATCATTCCTTCCCTCTCAAAATGTACTAGGATATATGTCATATTACCAAGAGTAGAATAAAACCGAGGTTGATAATGTTTTCGATTGAACTTATTTCAGTTTCAAAACAGATCAGATTGGACATTAACAAGTCAGACCAAACTAGATCAGACTAGATCAGACTTAAACAGACCAAATTAGACAAGACAAAACCAGAAAAATTCTATTCAAATAAAAATATCCCTAATATCAAAAGGTTTGAATTTGGCTAGTCCGTGTAACTAAAATGATGGGTAAGAACCTGACATATGCAAAGGAAAAACGAAAACATTGTACATGTTAAATTTGTTTATGCAGGTATCAAAAGGTTACGAGCTCATTTGGTAAAACACAAATCGACTATATTGACTTATTATGCTCATTTATGAAAGAACTATATTTAAAATAAATATTTAAAAACAGGTAAAATAATCTATTACTGTAACTTCAGCCAATACAGCAAAAAAGTAACTCTCACCTTACTTTTTCTTATTATTATACAAAATTCAACGCGCGAAATCAAAATTTACGTGCTTAGTGAAAAATGGACTAATAAGCCTCGTGAGCAAAAAAGGGCTCATCAAACGACCTCGACCTCTACATTATCCTTCTGAGCTAGACGAAGTTATTAAGTTTGTGGATGGAAAGTGTGAGAGTCAACATTTGCGGCAGGGGAGGCCCTTGGGGGTGGGCAAGAGGGGAGATTGCCATAGGCCCAAACAATGAATTTTTATTAGGCCCAATTATTACGTTTTATATACATTGTGACCTTGTGAATATGCTTCTACTTTCCCTTTCAAGCCCAAAACTTTAACTCTACGTATTTTTACCAATACGTGAATACAAAAATTTACAAACTCATAATTTTAATTAGGTAGTTTCTATGGTACCTATAAGGTACCACACACCAATTAGGTACTTTTACTTATAAGGTATCATACCTTTGTCCACATGGACCAATGAAAAGGTAACAGATGAATTATTTAAATCTAAATTAAAATTGATAAAGTGATGTGATCCAATCAAATAAATGCTAGATATGGTACCCCTGATTTTAGAAAGGTACTGGAGTTGTTACCTTTTAATTATTTATTTTTCTTATGTATGCGGTTATGCGCATTTTCCAATGATATGTCAATCGGTTGCTCTTATGCAATTTTAGATGCATTCCATGATTTTGAAGGTGTTCGATCGAATGAGAATTGTATTCATAGTGCTCCATAAGAAGTGTTTTCAGAATATTTTTTGTTGTATAGTTTAATTACTCTTTTTAATTTGTCTCATCGCAAAAAAAAATACTCTTTTTGTTTTTGTATGCTAATGTAATTTTTATTCTTATTATGACTTTCTACCTAATGTTAATATACTAATTTTGTAATTGAAGAAGTATAATTTAATAGTATACTTTTTAGAATAAGCGATTAAAAAGTTCCAGTCTTCCAGACCCAGGCCTGGAAAAGCATAGGACCAGCTCTGATTTGCCTATACTAATCTTAATGTTTTTGACACCTGTTACCAATTCATGTGTAAACATGGCTCATTTCAAACAAAACTTAAAAGATTTGAACTTATCAAATTGTTGGATAGTTTTAAAAAGATAATTTCATGTGTTGAATGGTTTCACGTTCTACACTTCTACCCAAGGGTCTGTTTACTTGAGACTTAATAGACTTAATGAGTGTAGTGACATAGTCATTCAGTTATATAGGGATGTTTATTTGTGACGTTTTAAAGAAATTGATTTATTCGCGGAGACATGTGATGACTTATTTGTTCAAACGTATATGTGCGGGAGGAGTCTCTTTTTTAACCCCGATTCTCCCTTCGTTTATTTCAGCGCTCGAATCACTATTCTCTCGACAACCCTACGAGCTTCACCGATTGGAGTACCGGACATCAGTGGCGGATTTACAGTTGAGATTTTGGGTGTTCATTTTCTTTGTACAATTAAAGAACAATAAATAATTATATTAAATTTATATATGTATACTAGTATTTTTTCATTACTTTAGGTGTTTACTTGAACACCTTTGAACAATGGTGGCTCCGCCACTGGTACCATCGTCGAGCTATCATGAAAGCCGAAATCTCATACCCTACCTTCTTCATCTTGATATTTCCTCTAAATTTATATCTGTTTTATATTTTTGATCTTTTTTATATTGCAGCTCCTCTCCGTATCCTCAATCTGATTGTTCTCTTCCAAATTAATCTACTTTCAATTTTCTATAATATCGCTGTATGTATGTTGCTATCTTGCCTTTTCAATTGTGAAATTAAAATTTATTTTGAAGCGATGCCATTGAACACCACGATGCAGATACCTTGTACTTCGTAGTTTGATATTGAAATTAAAATCAAGTGGCTTAAGATTTTCTTGAAGGAAAAAGTTAAGGGTTAGTTATGCGAATGGGCAGTAATTTCAAATGACGAGCAATTACGACTTATAAGCAGAAAGCTCAAAGATTGTAATTTGTGTCTATGAGAAATTGAGAATTACAAAGAGAAAGAATAAAGAATTAAAATAACAGATAGAAGGGTAAATCGGTAAAATTGGTAACTTATTGTCATTCAGACAACACATTCACATTCAGCATACATGGTAAACAGCTTAAGGGGTGTTTGGAACTGATTCTGTTTCTGCTTCTTTTTTAAAGCAGAATCAAAATCAGAATCAGATTTCAGAAGCTGGTCTACCCCAGCTTCTACAAAAACTGATTCTAGTTCTAGGAGTACATTAGAGCACCAGAATCACTTCTGCACTTTCACCCAAACACTCCAACTTCTGCTTTTGCTTCCTAAAGGAGCGGAACAATTTTAAGAATCAGATCCAAACACCCCCTTAGTATCACAATGTTACCTAATCTAGACAGATGTCTTAATACGGACAAACATCTTAATCCAGACAAGACTTAATGGAAAAAAAGTAAACAACCCTTAATTGTGTTTATCTAAAGGGGTAATGATTTGAATTCTAACATTATGTATTACAAATTTACTAGCTTAATGCGCCCAACCTTATATAAAGTATAATTAATTCTTGTGTGGTTTCCTTAAATGAGGTTTTTTATTTAGCCTATTAATTCTAATATGGTCAAATCTGCTACTAAAATATGTACAACATTACAGAACATGTAAATGCTAAGCGATTAATATTCATTATAATCCGACAATTTATATGCACTCTCTCTACCCTCCCTCATCCCTACCGAGTTCCGACTACCAGTGAAACAAAATGAAACGGGCACGAAATCTGGACCCATACCGTAGATTAATATGCTGTGTATGCTATTGTTCATTTCACAGAGTTCATATTCTGCTTACTTGATGCCTACTTTACAGGAAGTTGCCTACTAGCCTGCCATTATTTAAAAAAAGGCAGAGTTCATATTCAGCTTACTTGTTCATGTAGAATAATACCAAAATATGTAAATTAACTTTCAAAAAATAGGAAACTCTCATGGATGTGATAACTGATAAGTAATTAGTTTAAATATGCTAAAAATTTACATACTACAATCCCTGTTGATTCTACTTCACCTCAATAGGATCTTAACTTAGTGCTTGCTTCCCATAGGATCCTCTCTATCTTTATCCAAGTTCCCTGGATCTTGAGAAGGCTTTTCACGAACTGTCCACTTACGTTCATCATCTCCCCGTTGCGCTGAAGGCAAATTTTTACGATCAGTTGCTATATCCTGTTAAAAGAAAAAAAAAGTAAGTTTATAGAATACTGAACAGAAGATCCTTGAATCCTGTTCACCATTATGTCATATATGTTGCTAAAGGTTTTACTACCTCTTCAAATGTTGTACTGTCTGTCTTTCTAGTCTCACTAAAAAACTGCAAACCCTGGATGTCTCCATTTTTTATACTGACTTCAAGCTGCAAAAATGAAATGGACAATTAGGAAATGATCGGGATTAATCCGTCGTCATTTTTTGTGAGATGAAGATAAAGCACCTGAATATGGAGGATGCACAAGAGAATACTCGCAACTGGAAGCCAGCTATCCTCAGGAGACAGTGAAAGATTAGACCTGCAATGATGCAAAAAAAAAAAGAGAACTATAATAGAGCACTAAATATACTTAGAAGCAGCAGTCAACTTCTCCATTCAGACCATGAGACCAAGACAGTAAAACCTGTCACCATAACCATTAATTACAAATCAAGTGCTGTTAGATGGTGGCAACGTTGGATTGCAAGGCAGAGATATTGTGGCTGCCAAGTGCCAACCCAAATTTGTTAAGAATGGCTGTGTATGTCAGTGTATGCCAGAATTTAGGCCATCAGTCATGACAGTCAGTATACCATTTTTGAAGATAACTTAGAAGACACGTTAGCTCTTTCTTCTACTCCGTATTACATTACAGAGGATTTTATATATCCACAAGTGCTTCTCAGACGTTTCAAGCAAGCTCGTGGAGTGCAAGAAAGACCTTTACGGCAAATTACTTCAATTTTTGTAATATATTTTTGAAGATTGTAGTGTGCCTAACAAATTAGTTTCAAAATGTGCAACTAATCTAGATAATGTTAAAAAAGGATTATTTTCACCTAAAGTCCAATTTACTTCCTCCCACATAATTATCCGGCCAGTCCTAGGGGCCCTCAGGGATGGGGTGTCATCCTATTTTGGATGGGGTGTCATCCTATTTTGTAAAATACACTCTCCTTTTTGAATTGTCCCAAATATATGAACAATTTCCTAAATTGAACTCCACTAAGTTAAGTACTTCCCCACTATTCATCATTTCACCTTTAACTTTTTGTGCACTAATATTACTTTATCTTACTTTTGGAGGTTAGATTTAAAAAAAAACATACCATTTATTTATCGAAATGTGTCTTGCGTTGTGGGAGGAAGAGAGTATTTGGTAAAATAGCACCCCTAGATAGCTGGCGCTTGGCAGTGTTATTAATGCCTAATGGTGGATGTGGGATTATGGCTGATGGCCAAAATTTGGTCCTATGGAACCCCCCATAACACACAGTCACACACCATTCTTCACAAACTTCATATGGCAGTCTGCAATATTTGCGCCACCAGCATGCATTATGGACGCCATATGACAGCACTGAATTAGCTTGTTGCCACAAGAAGCCGAAACAGAAAAAAGATTCGATCTGAAGCTTCTTGGGTTGAGTGGTTCTATTACTTATTACTCTTTTATCTCCTTTTGTAAACTAATTAAATAAAACATGTTAAGTCGTTATGCAATAGTCTTCTATCATTGATGCTAGCTCTTTTAAAACTATTGATTTTTATTGTCTTTATGTTTCCACTAATAATACTTTCAATTTAAATGTAATCAACAATATTAATTAGATTACTGATAGGTTATTTTTTGTCGAAACAAATAATAAAAATGATTCTAATATAATAATGGTATCGCTATTACAGTATTGCGTTTATTAACAGTTCATTTAATGATGAACTAAATTTCCAACAATATATTATTTAAGTAAAATAGGTGTAACTTCAACAATATATTCGTGAATAACTAGATGTACATAGGCGATGCCTGAAGTGCAGCTATAAAGATGTTATATATAATCGTTCATAGATGAACTTTCAAATTGGCATTAGCGATGTACTAAGTGTGTCACTGCATTGAAAGTTTACTTATTACATGACTCACCGCATTTTAGCCATTTCATCAAACTTATGGTTCCCCAAACTCTTTTGGGACCAAGCTTGGATGTTCTTGTTGATAAAACCAGTGGTTCTTACCCAACTTTTATTACTTTATTGTCTTCTACCTTATACTATTAGACTTCCCCATTCTAATTTATTTAATCAATAAGACTTGTTACTTCACCCCGTACCTAATCAAGTTGTCTACCAACCAAGTCTAGTCCAAAACAACATGCTTTCGTTGGTTTAGCAAGCTGGTGAGTCTGGTTACTCGGCCAATACCTCGGTTGTAAACTTGTAACTAAATGTAAAAGATTGAAAATAGAAATAGGCGCATTATGATATTAAAAACTAGTGGACTTCAATTCAATAGAACACTTTTTACAGTTTTAATTTGTAGTTCTTAACACTAAAAATTCTCACTCAATATGTGTCAGTGACATGGATGATTATGATGATAATGACATAACGTTGATCTTGCACCAAATGACGCGTAATCTAGTGACATGGACATTCATTGTTAACTACTTATAATTATGCTAGTTATTGTGAATATATTTCAATATATATAACCAATAAAACTAACATTAATAAAATACTGCAGCATATATTTTTAAAATTTTAATGATATAGAGCTTAGTTGTCGCAGATTAATCCCTAGTAAGATTTCATATTCGCTACTATGCCTTTGGTAAAGTAACTACCGAGTATCAATTCAATTACTTTTTCACAAATAATGTATCAAAAAAGGATAGTCAAGACACCTGCTTCAATCAGCTAAATGATGAGCAAGGCAAGTCTAGCTTATCAGAGGAGTAAAGCAACTAAAGTAAGCAACCCATGTTTCTCCACAGCCACCACATTAGGCCTTTATAAAACCTTAAAGAGAAACAGCTTCAGCCATTAACTTTCTTGAATTGGTTTTCCTAAACTCTTCAAACTCATTGTAGCTCTTCTACATAGTGGCTAGTGAAAATGCATAAACTCTTAGATTTCAGCAGCCCAAACTACTAGATGTTATAACCGGTAATTTACCTCAAGTAAGGAGCCAAATAAACAATAGCATACACAGCATATCGCCTCTTCTTCGTATCCAACCAAGCAAAGACCCAACTCTAGAAATAAAGCACCATCAGAAAAACGAATTAAAGCAGAGAATGGAAATCCCTTATTTCAGCTTAATAAGCAGAAATTTTCAGGAATTTAGCATTAGTATTTAGTACTCCGTATATCAATATATATCTGGAAAGCCTTACTAGCCAATTGAAATATGGGATGAAGCTAATTATCCCCATGACAGCTAATCGGGCATCGGCAGAGTCAATCACCGAGTCGGTTTCATCCTCATCCGGCGAAGGAGCAACGGGGAATACCAGGGAGTTGAGAATGCAAGCGCCGATGGCTACGGCAATAGGCGCATCATTGACTAACTGCGCCTTGCACTTACCAGCTCCAAATCTTCTCTACAACCAAAATAGAGCGGGTGTGAAAAACCAGGATGCATAAACTATATTAACAGATTTAACATTTAATCGGGTTTCGAGATAAGCACCAGATTAAGGCTTTTCCGGGAGCGGCGGTGTTGGTATTCGTTTAGGGGTTTAAGGGACGGTGTAAGAGAGGGTTTCAAGAGGATATATTTTACTGGGAGCAGAGGTGAAGATGTGGCACTCAGAGAAATCATGGCGTTGAGCGGGCAGAGGAAGACGAAGAGCTGCAGGAGCAGAAGAAGAAAAATCCCCAGTGGTTTGACCGGTTTCAAACTTTTCAATGAGTCAATCACTTGTAGTCGTACAAAAATTTTGCGTATATACCAAAAATTTATTCCTTCCTAATATCTTACTTCTCTTTATTGAACGTTCTATATAAAGATTTTTGTTTCCTTTTAATGAAACAATAAACATTTTAAATAACATTTAATAATTATATATTCATTATTCTCCTGTGGCCTTACAAAATATCTTTTTTGTTTTCCACCTGTGTAATATGTATTATTTTATTTTTAGATCATCGCTAACTCTAAAACTACTCTACTTAGAAAAATGTTATTATCGATTGTCTAAATCTCCTAGAAACATTTAGATTTATCCTTTTATAAATTTTTTGAGACTAATATGAGAGTTAAAAGAATGCAAAACTAATTATTCACATTTTAAAAGTATGTATTGAAAAGTTTCTACAAATTAAAATTTAAATATTTTTTTAACAACATGACAAAGAATTGGACAAAACCTATTACTCAAGGTTATTTCGAGGTCAAACATATGTTGTTATCATTGATCATGAACTAAAAAGAAAAACAAAAAAAATTGCAGGAATGAAAAATAATCATAATTATCGCCAAAAGATTAGTCGTTCCATCCCGCACATCAGTTCTGTTTATTTTTAAACATTTTAAAAATATGTATTGAAAAGTTTCTACAAATTAAAATTTAAATATTTTTTTAACAACATGACAAAGAATTGGACAAAACCTATTACTCAAGGTTATTTCGAGGTCAAACATATGTTGTTATCATTGATCATGAACTAAAAAGAAAAACAAAAAAAATTGCAGGAATGAAAAATAATCATAATTATCGCCAAAAGATTAGTTGTTCCATCCCGCACATCAGTTCTGTTTATTTTTAATCATTTTATCAATTTGAATGGCCTGTGTACTTGCTTGGTTGTTTAGTCCTCAGTAGGTAATTTGTATGTGTGATTGTGTAATTTGTGTTGTTTACTTTCAAGGCCATACACACAAACTTTTATTTTTTACATAAACATAAATATTAAATAATGTTATTAAACTTATTATAATGTTATTAATTTATTATAGGATTATTGATTGGTCAATGGATTTTTTTTCAAAAATGTTATTAAAAAATACTATCTCCGTCCCAAATTGATTAGCAAATTTGACTTTTCTTGGTCAAACAGTTTCATTTTATCTGCTTAATTAGGATGTCAATTTTCAATTATATTCTAATTTGGAGTTTGAAATTTTGAAGAGATTTTAATGTAGTTTCTGAACATGTAAATACATCATAATTGTTCGCGTTGAAAAGATGAAAACTTAGCGCGAACAATTATAATGTATTTTGTTAAAACATATGCTATCGTAATAATACGTTAATACCTTATTACTTCTCCCGCCCCATTTTACATCTTAGTTTCCTACTCCGTATATGGTTATTCCAAAATAAGTGTCATAAAAATATGTGATTTACAACATTTCACTTTATTATACTCAAATCTCGAACAATTACAATTTTTATTAATACAACCACTATATTAATAATTGTTTCAAACCAAAAGAAAACGTATAGAATCAGATGAAGGTAGTATTGTATTTTTATGATGCATTTTTTTTATTTTTCCGCCCCCAATTAAATTTAATCCTGGATCCGCCACGGACTCACGATGTAAAGGAAACCAATTCTATCTCACGGTGATAGAAAACCCAAGCATAAGCTGTAAAATTCTTATTGATTGTAATAGTCAAATAATGAATATGGGGATGGAGGTGTTTGGAACTGATTCTGCTTCTGCTTCTTTTTTAAAAGCAGAAGCAGAATCAGAATCAGTTTTCAGAAGCTGGTACCTCCCAGCTTCTAAAAAATTGATTCTGAGAGTAAATTAGAGCTCCAGAAGTGCTTCTGGAATTTCACCCAAACACTCCAGCATCCGATTCTGATCCCTGAAGTAGCAGAATCAGTTTTGAGAATCATATCCAAACACCCCCTATATATAGATACCCATTAACCATAAGAACTAATCCTATTATGATGAAAATACTAGCAGCTAGATAGAGTCCTATTCTAACTCTAACACATGATTAATAATAAACAACAACAACTACTTACTAAAACAATTAATAGGAAACTAAGCCATGTAATCCTTCAACATAATGTTGCTCCTACGAAGCCTCACACTTTGGCGTTGACCAACCTGGACATCGACCTCATCATTGCCTCCATCCTGAAGACGAATCTTGTCCTCAAGGTCGAAGTTTGGAAACTGTTGTTGCAGTGTCTCAATAGGTTCCCATGTCGCCTCTTCTAGACTAAAAGATGCTCATTGTATTAAGTCCTCTTTGTTTTCTCCTGACAGTGTTCGAAAACGCCGGAAACGAAGCACTTTCTCCGGTTCAAAAATAGGTTGACCATCAGCAGTATAAGGGGCAGGTGCTTTGGAGCTTCAAGTAAGTCCCTGAATTGATCCAATATGGATTGCACTTCATGCGGTAGTGTTTGAGGCAGATCTTCCTTGCCCTCGGTGGCACTTACACTTGTCAAAATTAAAAGTTCAGCCCCTTGGTTCCAATCTTCCAGTAGCGCATGAGCAGACTCCCACCCGGAGTTGTGTATGCATTAGCTCAAATTAGGTGATTATTTCAACACACTTCAAACTCCATGGTCATGTCATTATAATCTGAAACAATTCTTCCAGGGCTTTTTAGCCACTGCATCCCAAGAACGAGGTCCATTCCAGTGATTGGTAGTGCATATAGAGTCGTTAGAAATTCATACCCTTGGATGGTAATAAGCACATCTTCGAATTTTTCATGGCACCAAAGATGGTCACCATTAGTAACCCGGGCAGCAAAGGTTTTGATTGCTGAAATAGCAAGCTTCAATCGTCCTGCAATTTCTGGATGTATAAAATTGTGTCTTGACCTTGAGTTAATGAGAATATTTATCTGCAGCTTTTTAATACGCCCTTGAACCCGCATGGGTCATGTGCCACAGCCTCTTACCAAAGCATGCAAAGAGATTTGCGGCGGTACCTCAGTAGGTATAGAGTCATCACTAACGTTTATCTCATCTGGTATACTACTTCTTGCTTCCACGGCTTCAATATAATGATGAACTAGGAAGCTTTGCAACGGTACCCCGGGACAACCCGTTCATCACAATTATAGCACAGATTCTTCTCCCTCCGAGATCGCATCTCTTCCACTGTCAGCCTTTGAGGAGTACTGGAGGTGGCTGATTTAAGTATGTTGGTTACGGGAGCTAGAGTCTGTATAGTATGAGTTGTTCACCCGTCACTGAATCTAGGAGAACTTGCTGCTATTCTCCCTTTACTCCGCTATTGTTTTTCATCAATTCTTCTTGCCAATTCCATTGCTTCAAACAACCTTTTTGGATAAAAAAGGCGGACATTGAGTGATAATTCTACCTTCAAACCCCTAAGAAACATTCCCAAAAGAGCCTTGGTAGTCCATCCCTTCACACGAGTAGATAACCTCTCAAACTCTTGCGAATACTCCTGTTATGAACTTGTTTGTCTGATTTTACTCAAGAGCTCATCATAGTCCTCAAAGTTGGTAGGCCCAAAGCATTTCAGAATACCTGTTTCAAATCGCCCCCAGGAGATCTTCCAATGTTGCTGATTGTTCGAGAACCATTGTCACCACTGATTAGCTTCTTCCTCAAGATGAAACGAGGCTAGCTGCAATTTTTTTTAGCCTTGGATGCCCTTGACGCCAAAATACTGTCGTACTCTATCCAACCACACTTCCACATCGAGCTCAGAGAATTTGGGAAAATCTAATCGTAGACGATCGTGAATCTCCTCTGTTTTGGGTGGAATTTACCACTATTGGCTTCGGATTCCCCTGAAGTGCCGTCTGACGAACTCTCATTCTCGGAGGAGACCCCTACCGCTGATGATGATGAAGAAGTTTCATTCTTGAATTTCTTCCGTCCAGTCCTTCTTGGTGATTTGGTACTTCGAGAAGAAGCGACCGATGGAGATCGTTTCCTAGATTTTTCTTTCTTCAAATTTTCCATATTAACGGACAACAAAGTAATCAAGGTTTCGGTGATGTGGGCGATTGAATTCTCCAGTTGTTCGAAGCGCTCCCGATTGGTCATAGCTTATTCGGCTGTTGCTTCCCGGGAAAGAGCTCTGATACCAATTGATGGAAATTCCATTTGGGGAATTATCCGAGACATTTACTCACGGTGTAAAGGAAACCAATTCTATCTCACGGTGATAGAAAACCCAAGCATAAGCTGTAAAATTCTTATTGATCGTAATAGTCAAATAATGAGTATATATAGATACCCATTAACCGTAAGAACTAATCCTATTATAATGAAAATACTAGCAGCTAGATAGAATCCTATTCTAACTCTAACAAATGATTAATAATAATAAACAACAACAACTTACTAAAACAATTAATAGAAAAATAAGCCATGTAGGGTATGTTTCGCACAACTAGCTAAAAAGATACTTTTACGAGCTTTTTAGTAACTGTCAGCTTTTAGTGACTGAAAAGATCTTAAAAACAAAAGTTGATAGCTGTTTCGTAAAAAGCTGACTGTTTGATTTAGTTCGGTTTGGTATACAAGCTATTAGGACTAATTAATACTAAAAGTCACGAGCTTTTCTCAGATGCTAGACCCGGTAGCATTTCAAAAAAGATTTTTTAATTTTTGAAAAGCTCTTAAAAAATGTCATGCCAAACATACAATTAGAGTTTTTTAAGGTCTTTTTAAAGAATAGAGAAGCTAGAAGCTAGAGCCTTATGTGTGCCAAACATAGCCGTAATCCTTCAACATATTGTGAAGCCTCTTACTTTGGCGTTGACCAACCTGGACATCGACCTCATCACTCAATCAATTTAGTCAGTTTTAGTGTTACCAAACAAGTTCTAAACTTTCTTTGCTTATATTTAATAACAATTTATACAACTTTCTCAAAAACAGATTTAATGATCGAATAGAAGAAAATTTGTTATGTTTTTCTAATGGAAATCGCCTATATTAATATTAATATTAATATAAAGATGATCAAACAAGATACATCGGACTCAAACTTGCTACCC